ACTTTGCTCTCTCACACGTCAGACCCCGGCTGCGAAGAGGGGATGGATGCGCTCGTGCCCCCCTTCCCTCCCTCCTCTGTGCTTTCGCTGCATGCCCCTGCTTTGCCCATGCCTGCTTGCCCGCGGCCGCATCCCCGTGGAAGGAGGAGAGATGCTGGAGCACCCTTCTCCCTTGGCCACGTGCCTCCTCTTCCTCCCCGTCGGGCTGCGTGGGACAACGGGGATGATGCTCGGAGGGGATGTCCCCAAGGGGATGGTACTGCTGCATCTGGATCTGAAATGGGGGACGATGCTCAGAGGAGATGTCCCCAAGGGGGTGGCACTGCTCTATCTAGACCCAAAATGGGGGCTGATGCTAGGAGGGGATGTCCCCGAGGGGATGGCATTGCTGTATCCGGACCCGAAATGGGGTCGTGGTGCTGCCTCAAGCTTCCTGGTCCCTCTCAAGCCTCCTGGTCCCTCTCATCCCCCTGCCCAGATGACCCAGCTGATGAAAGCGGCCAAAAGCGGCACCAAGGATGGTTTGGAGAAGACCAAGATTGCGGTGATGAGGAAGGTGACGTTCCTGCACCGGAAAGAAGCGCCAGGTAAGTGGGGACCACCCCCCTTGCTTTTGAGAGCCAAAACCTGCCTTTTTGAGGATTTTTTTTGAGTCCTTATGGCCTTCAGCTTTTCCTTTTGCTGCATTATTTTCTGCATTTTAAGCTCCTCTTTGATTTATCTTTTTTTTTTTCCCCCCCCACTCTTTGCATCCCCGTGCAAGCTCGGTCAGTTCAGCTCACTCCTTGCTCCGAGCACCCACGTCCTTTTGGGAGCAGGACCGTGACCCCACCGCACCAGCACCCGTGGGTGCCCCCCTTGGACACAGGGCAGGATCTACCCTGAAATACAAATTTTTTGGGGGTGTTTTCCTAACCCTCCCGCTGTTTTTTTTTGGAGGGGGAACGGAGGGGGAGGGCGGCGGTGGCGGAAAAGCAGCCGCCTGCCCGCTGGAGCTCGAGGGGCTCCCTGGAGCATCACGGGGGAGGTAGGATCCGGGCGGGTGGCCTCGTGGCTCGGCCGGGGCTTCCTGGGGGATCTGGCGTGTGTGTTCCAGCCTGGCTGCATGTCCCTGATTCAGTTTAGCTTTGCTGGGGTGGGGGCTTAAATACTTTTGGGGTCCCCGGGGTGCTGGAGGGCATCCCGTCCCCAGGGTGCTGTGGAGCATCCCATCCCCAGGGGATGGGGATGGGGAGAAGACGCTGGCAGAGCTGGGGGGTCAGGGCGCGGGTCCCTCCCGCC